TTATTCAAATATTATTTAATGATCAATTTTATTTTATTTTGATAAATGGGAAAAAATTTCAATATCTCCAAATAGCTGGTTTATATATTAATATCAACTGCTGTCGTTGGAGAAATAGCTTCTATTATTAGATTCTGCTTAATTTCCAAAAGCTAACACGTTGTTGGAACTTCTGAAGGTAATTTTAAATAATTCTAAATAGGATGGTTTGGCATTATGAAAGACACTTCCGATCATTAATGGAATGCTTATCAATAGAATCTTTAAACAATTATCCTCTTTTAATTTTTTTGTCTGTTAGGATCATTTATAATTAAAAAAATCTCAAATAATCAAACTTAACTTAAAAACTTATAATACTTTAATATAACTATAGGTTTGATATTTAGTTTTGTGGCAATGAGTTTTGGAATAATCTTTTAATTTGTAGTTTTGATGATATTCTATATTTTGTAAAAGGTATTATAATCACTATTCTTAGTATTTAATTAATTTTAAATACTTTGTCTTATCCCTATGGACATTTGTTATGTTATTTTTGTACCTCAACGAAACACTTAATGGATTCAATTTCAAGATGATTTCTCGTCACTTAGAAATACTTGATTAAATTTAAGAGGAATAATAGTAAATTTAATGGCATCGTCTCTTCAATTTGGTTTTATTGAGAATCATAAGTTTCTCTTTTGATCACTATTGGGCAGCTTAAGAAATTAGAAAGTATTATATATACACATTAATAGAAATTAGTTCAAATAAATACCAATCAAGACTTCTGGACAAGAATATAGAGATTTGGTTAAATAGAACTAAGATATAACAGAATATAATTTTCTTGCTTATCTTGCATACATCTATTATACTCCTTTATTTATTACAGGACCTACAATTACATTTAATGCATTCAACGCTTAATTAAAACAAAGGTAATAAGCAAATAAAAATGTCAAAGAAGTAATATATTATGTACTTCGGGTGTATTTGTTGAATTTGTTAACATTTGAAATATTTCTGCACATTTGCTATCCAAATGCTATTTCAAATATTAAGGAGAATAATCATATTTGGTAGAATTTGTCATTTTATGATTTTCATGTTATGTCATTTGTCAATTTAATATTTATTTGGTACAAGTTCATGATAATTTGGCGTATATCTAGAGCCTGGGCATTAATTGATGGTATTTAATGATAATTAACTTGAATTTAGGGATAGAAGTACCTGAAAATATGAGTAGATGCATCTATAATAATTATAATTTTAGTGGATTTTGGAGATCATGGCATAGAAGTTTTAACTAATGGCTAATTAGATACTTGTATATACCCTTGGGCGGTTCACATTACAAAGCATTAAACATTTGGGTTGTTTTTTTATTTGTTGCTTTTTGGCATGATTTTAAGACTGATTTATTTTTTTGGGCCTTTATGATTTGTTTGGCCTTATTACCAGAAATGGCAGCAATGTATTTTTTTAATAAAGATCGATATTATAAATTTTGGTGGTTCAAATATTTAACTGCAATAGCGGCAGGATTCTAGATTGAGGTTATGAGTCTAGCTAATTTTATTGGATTTGGGTAAGGAAAAGATTGTTTGAATCATATTTATTAAAAATATTTTAATTTAGATTGTATGATAATATTTATCTTGGTGGCCATGTTTAGAAACGGCAGTGGTGTTATTTTAGGATTATATGTTAGATAAAAAGAAGAAGAATCATAAAAAATGAAGAAATATTGAATGGATGTAAATTAATCAATAATATATTATTATATTAATATGAGATAACAATAATCAAATAAATCCTTTAATATCTCAAATGCTTCATTTTACATTTCAATAGCCTTCATGATTGTTTTTGAATCTTATTCTCTCTATCGATTTTCAGTCATATGTAAATCAAATAAGGTAGAGGGCATTGAACAAGGTTTTTTTATTTTAAATTATTTAGGTTATTTTGGATTCTTAAGAGATCATTCAGATCATTAATGGGGATAGTTTGCAGGCCATTTAAATGAATTAATGGCTTTTCAACTTATTTTCTTAATTGGCTCATATACTGTTAAATATTATAGTAAATTAGAAAGCAAATAAAGAAACTTACAATATTATAATATTTTTCTAGGAATGAGCTACGCTTTCTATTTACATAATATAGGAATGATCTTTTAATTGTTGATTATCATTGGGTATTATTTATTCTAAAAAGTAAAAAAATAGTTAACTTAATACTAGATATTTTTCAAAATGAAATATTTCATCCCCCTTTTGTGGACTCTAGCATTAGTGACTCTATGGTCTAATGAGACATTCTAAGGATATTCATTTACTGCGATATCACCATCATTAAAATTCTTAGAAGACTTCAAACACAATAATGAATTAGTAAGATGGAACCTAGTATTTAACATGATTTTACTAAGAATTATTAGTTTTTCTGTAGATAAGGTTTGGGCTTCTTAATAGGATGCCAAATACAAGTAAACTTTTGCTAATTCAAAAAGATATGATTTAATACACGAGAAGCAAATACTTAAAACATATAGAGAGAGAGTACAAGAACCACAACCATTAGAGGAATACAACTTTTTGGGTTATCTTAGCTTTTTATTTTATGTTCCTCTTCTTTTTTCAGGACCATCTATGGGTTATAATGCATTCAATTCTTAACTGAAAATACCCTAATAACAAATGAATAGAGCATAAGTCTTAAAATATATCTTAAGAGTCTATTTTGTTGATTTTTTGACTTTCGAAATTTTTCTACACATATGCTACCCTAACGCTATTCCTAAAATTTCAAGTAATTTTAAAATTCTGAAAACCTTTTCTGTTTTTGAATTTCATATTATGGGTTTCACAAATCTAATCTTTTTATGGTACAAATTTCTGACAATATGGAGAATTGCAAGAGGATGGGCATTATTGGATGGTATTTAATATTCTATTTTAGGAATTGAGACACCTGAAAATATGAATAGATGCATCTATAATAATTATAATTTTAGTGGATTTTGGAGATCCTGGCATAGAAGTTTTAACTAATGGTTGATTAGGTATATTTATGTTCCATTGGGTGGATCTAAATATAAATCTTTAAATATGTGGGCTGTCTTTACTTTTGTAGCTTTATGGCATGATTTTAAATTAGATCTTTTACTTTGGGCTTGGATAATATGTTTAGCACTAATTCCAGAAATTGCTTTACAAAAATATTTCGACAAAGAATTCTTCTATAAAAAACCATGGTTTATATGGTTATGTAGATTAGGAGGAGGATTTTAAATTGAAATGATGTGTTTAGCTAATCTTATTGGATTTGGTAATGGACATGAAGGTATGAATTTTGTCCTCGAGTAATATATGAGTTGGCAAGGTTTATTGTGCTTCTTATTCTATTGTGTTATTAGAAATGGATTTGCAACAACTATTCAATTTAGAATAAGGGATGATGAAAAAGCAGAGTCAAATGAAAAAAACTTTTGATAAGTTTTTTATTATTTAAATTAATCCTTAATAAATGTTCATTTAAAATAGGTTCTTGCTTGCTTATTTTCCTTATCTTTAGAAATAGTCTAACAGATCTTTATAATAATATTTTTTAAATCTCAAATATCAACCTTGTATTCTTATCAAAGTATTAATGATTAGAAATTCTTATTTAGCTGAAATAAAATCTCAAATATTATTCTATTTTAATTCTCCTTTGTTTTTTTTAATAGCTAAAAATTTTTTCTTGTAATCAAGTTAACAAATCTATATCTTGAAATAAGAACCTAGTATCATTCTTATAGAAATTGAAGGAATGGTTTATATTATTTCTAAACTATTATTAAAATTTCTTAAACTAGCATTGTTTCCATCAATTATGAATTTTAGATATATATTGACTCCTGTTTTAGAATTTCAATATGAGATGGTTTTTTTATGATTAATTTTGGAGAACCTTGATGTTTTTTTTCAAAAAACAATGAAATTTACTATAATAATTAATAATTATATATATAGTAAAGAGTAAGATCTTTAATAGAATAGGATATTATTGAATAAAGTGAACTATTCTTATTGATAGCTTACTTCTTTTATAATAATGATCAAACCCTAATTAATATGAGATCTTGTATAAAAAAATCTCTAATTTAAATACTCACTAGTATAATTTGAAAATTCACAATGTTAATGTTTAAATTTTTATTTCTTTTTTATAATCCTTAAGATTAAACATAAAAATGTAGAATTATGTTTTAATAGTGTTAATTAAATTATTCTATGAGATAAAATATCGAATACGAAAAATTGAACCATATTATCCAAAAAACCAGCATTTGATCATTAATAAATAGAATAGCCTTATCATTTTGAAAAGAAAGTCAAATTAGTTAGTCATGCAAGAAATTAATCAGAATAGACTCATTAAATAGAATGCAACTAAAATATGTGCTAATAACTCAATAAAACGCAATGCCAATTCTATAATATTATTGAAAATTATTGCTTATTTAATTATCAAGAAAATTTGATATGATTTTTTGCAAAAGCAAGCATTTATTTGGTTAATGTGGATGAATAAAAGTTGAAATTAAGTATGAATCAATTTAATAAGGATACTACCAAATTTAAAGTTATCATAATATCACTCTTGTAAAATCAATTTTCTCATAAATAAGCTTAATTTCTATATTGTTTCTAGGATTTACTATATCTAATTTTAATATTTCTCTCTTGCTTTCTTTAAAGCTTATCAATTAAAATTAATCTGAATAATTTTTAATTCATAATAATGATATTTTAGATATTCCTAAATAAATCCATTGACGGAGCAAAGTTTCGATATAATGGATTTAATATTTATTATTTGTTGTTTAAATGAATGTTTGTGTAAAACTAATCAAATAAAAATACAAGTATAATATTTTTTAGATGTTTTATTTACATAAGATTTAAGATATTATTTAGAATAAATTTAGAATAAAATTGATATATATATTATAATTAATTTCAGATTGATGTATCCTTTATTTAAGTTCTTGTTGTTTCCAATTTCTATATAATATTGATTTATTACTTTTAATAAATATTACTTTAGAATTTTGAATGTTTCATATAAATATTGATGTTTTATATATTCAATTTCCCCTTGAATGTGAACCAGATCATATTATTATGCATATTTTTTTAATTTTTAAGGTTTAAGAGTTGTTTTATTTTGAAAAACCATTTTATCTAATTTCCGAGTAATAATAATTTTAAAGAAAATAATATAACCAAGCATTCCAAAAATTAAAAGAGGATTATTAAAAAAGAAAAAATTTTAAAAGCAATACATAATATAAAATTGTAAATATTACTATTTTTGGATTTCTAAAGTATTATCTTCTTCCCATTAATTTTAGAATGGAATGCAATGTTTAACAAAAATAAATTTGTCGATCCAATATATAATACAAAGAGCCAATAATGTTAAAGGGGCTATTAATGGAAAGTCTATCATAAATATTTGGCCAATTAAACAGATTTAAAAGATTCTGTACTATTTTAATTCAAAAGATAATTATCTTGCCTCAAAATATTTATTAATTTCAATTTATGCTAAATTTGTCCTTTGCTATCTTTTCAGATAATTTTTTTTAAACTAGTTAAATAAATATTTTGAATCAAATATTGTAGTCAGATTTGGTAAAACGATATTTAAGTAACAAAGTATAATTAAATTATCAATTATTCCATTTTCTTATAAATATGCTTCTTAATTAGATATAGTTGTAAAAATTCTATTTATATTTTTAAAGCCTATGACTAAGCACTATTTTATTAAAAGATAAATACAGTGAAATATATTTATTAATAATTGTTATGATGAAGCAAATTTTTGGCAATCAAATTTGAAAAATATATTTGAAAGTAGAATAGAATATTAAGGAAAATTTTGAGCAAGTTTGCTTAAACTAGAGTAGAATTAGTTTTCAAATACTTTGCTTATAAATATACACTAAATGCCAATGATAAAATAGTTAATATAGCAACTATAATTATTCCTAGAATCTTGAGAATAATTTTGCAATTAATTTTTGCATTATTTTAAGTTATATATCTTTGCTCCCCGTCTTCTACTATGATATCTTTATTTTGGATTTAGAAGTCAATTTTTTCGCTCTATATATAATTCGTAATTTACTTCTGACTGAAAAATTATTATTGTACCTTATTGTATCAAACGAGGATTAACTTTTTCCTAAAACATAGCATCTAATACTTATTGTTAACTAAAAGATATTTAACTATTGATACTTATCAAGATGAGCTTATATATAATATTTTTCTGTTTAGTTTTTTATGGTCTCTTAAAATTTATCTAAACTATGCACTTTAATATACTAATGATTTTTCAAAGCTTGCCTTTCTTATTTAAATTTTATTTCATCTTAATCATACATTACCATTACTGATTACAAAAGAAAAGCTCTAGAGTATTAGTTGCTGAGGAAAATCTTGTGCTTATTTCCAAATATCATTAAATAAACTCCTACCGAGCTTAACAATATTGTAAGTAGGTAAAAGATTTGTAAATAAATATTATCTAACTAAAAATAATCTTGGGTTTGATTCCATATAGAGAACTAATTATAATAGCTTGGAATGCAATTTTTCATTTTTTCGCATTCATCTCCTTAAGAATTGAAATACATAGCATAAGGTAGAAAAGTTATGCTGATTGTTAATTTAATTAATACCATGGAATGCAGAACAGAAATATAAACTATTGGAGTTGTAAAAAGTATAAATATGCAGCCCGATTATATTTGAATTCTTTAATATTGCAAAATAAGTCAAAATAGTCTTGAATCAAATGATAATTGCAGCAATAGCATCTTTAAGAACCAATTTGAAACCCTTTATGAATTTTATATACTTTCTTTAATTAGAAACAAAATTACTCCATGTAATTCAGCTTGTAATACTTTGGGGGGAAAATAAGGTTTTTGAGACTCAACTAAAGGTAACACTTGAGATCCAATATCTAATTAATGCTATTCTTCCATTAATGTAGAATGGAATAAATTTCTCTTTTAAAATTCTTTAATTCTTAATTTTGTTTGTGCTAAAAGCAATTATTTATTTTAACATAATCTGATGCAAATTAAATAATAATTGTTAAATCTTCTCTTCAATTTAATATAAATATCAAAAAGAAAGCAAAATGGATTTTAATTTTCAAAAAATATTTTTGGATTGTTAATATTTCCAAGATTTAACATAATTTAGAATTTTAGAGAAGTAGTCATTTAGGAAAATTAAACCTAAACTTTATTAAATAAGTTATTAAAAAATTTTAAATAATTATTCTGTTATTAAAGCATTACAATTTCTTTACTCATATAATAGCCTTTAAGTATTACTTCATAGTATGCCAACATCTGAATTATTGGTTATGTAGATTGAGAAGTACATAATTTAAAAGTATTTCAAATTTTTTTTTAATAATACAAGAATTTTTTCATAACATCAAATTCAATTAACTAATTAAAATCTTAAAGAAAACTTTCATATAATTATAAATTAAAAACAAAATTAATAAATCTATTAAAATGTCTTCACTAACTTAATTATGAGAAAACTTCTAATAATGTTAATAATGAATATGAATGATTTTTTTTATTGTTGTTATTCATTTTTCTTTGGTTAGGGTTTCAGTCTAAGGATATTATTTTCTTAATTCTCTTAGATGTTAATTTCATTATTTCTATTATGTTTTTTGGGCTTACTATTCAATGATCTTTATAATTATCTCTTCCCATATTCCCTCTTACTAGAGAATCTCTTTATAAATTCTCTAAAAATATCTAATATCTGTCTCCATATTTCCTTGTTAAAAAAACTATTAATCCAACTAATTATTCTATTTGTTCTTTGGGGAAGTGGTTTTTAAAACAGAAAATATTTTAAATTAATTGTTTAACAATTAAATTCATTATAGCATGTATCAACACTGTTATACCTACATTAAATTTTTAATATCTTGACTCTGAGTTACTGAAATTTTACAAATCCCTCTACTAAATTGATATTCAAGAAGGATTTAAAACAGTAGAAATTAGAAATTATTAAGTAATTGAGATTGGAAATATTGGTATATTTTAGAAATAGAAATAGATGGTTATGAATTAATAATTTGAGTAAGATTCAGTGAATATTTTCGATTATAAATTTATTTATATGTTTATTGTTAAATTTATTAAATCAAAAAATAATGTTACAGGTATACTTAGAATGTATTGAAAATTAGCCTTATTGTTGGTTTCATTTAAAATTTATTATACAATAGTATGTTATCAAATCGTAAAAAATAATTTGCCTTAATTATCGTTCTTTTCAATACTGAACTTTGCTTTGTATCGGTTTTGTCTTGAACTTTTAAAATAAGAAAGATAATAAATATATAACAATCTTATATTACAATAATTAGAAGACAATTCAATGTAAAATATAAGAAATTAACATTTAAATTATAAGGGAAGCTAGTTGATCATTGAATTATAATTTCTTGGAATAAAAGTGGTTATTTTATCTCTTATTTTAGTAATTAGCCTAAAAATAATTCAAAACAGGATCTAGTTACAATTAAATATTTAAGAAATATCTTGAGACAGTTAAAATTTATTTTATCAATATTATTAATGTGTATATTTGATGTCAAAACATTGAATATTCTCCATAATCAAAGAGAATTCTTGTAAATAGAGTAAGCTCTCTTGTTTTCAAATTTTAATTCTTAATCTGAGTAAAACACAATTAACAATAATCGATATAATTCTAAATATATTATCAATTAGATTACATCTTCAACAAATCTTCCTAATTGATTATTCAATGATATGTATCTTGGACCAAATGGTTAGTTTGTTCGACACTAAAAGCAGATGAAACTTTGCTTTTAATTACCTATTTCTCCTTCTTTTAATTTTAAATTTTTTCCAACTTTTTGAATTTCTATATTATGTAACACAGACTCATCAGTCAAAGGACCATTAATAAAAATTAAAGTATCAGCATATCTAAACCTTTCCATACCAATTTTTTTAACATCATCAAATTCAGCACATTCTATGCATACATGCTCATCTTTAAAATAAGAATAATATTGTTAAGCATGCTAAGATATGTCCTTTTTACAAACTGTGCATATCAGTCCAGGATATTTTATGGAAATAGTATTTTATATGTATTTAGAAATAGTCCATATTTATTTTGGAATTATATTAAATAATTAATCCAAAAACTTTTTAATCTGTACAAGTTAAGTATCTCTTACATAATATTAAAGGAAAGTTTTTGATATCTTTGATTTATTCAGAATCTTTATTATTTTTATTACAATTTCAAATTAAATAACTTTTTCTTTGTCTATAAGTCTGAAATTTTCTTTCATATTAGTATAAAATAAGTCTGTAATTATTTATAAAATTTTGGTATCATTCATTGGTATATGCTAATGATCAACTTACAATTGTTAGTTTTATTCATCTCTTAATTTATTGACCTTTTTTTCAATATTTTACAGTTCCCCTTTATATCTGATGATTCCAAATTTATCTATAATCAAATAATGAGGAATAGACTACATTCCATAAACGATTTAATCAATTTATCGTACTTACTTTGGAAAATAAAACTCTAAATATTTTTGAAGCTCCTGGTTTAAATCCATAAATAATTATGATTCATCTGATAGAGCAATACTTAAAATGATGAATCTAACAGAATTACCCCACTTTGTTATATTATTTTTCATTAATTGAGCTAAATGAGATATCCCTTTAACACAAGGTCCACAAGCATAGGCCCAATAATCTAGAACTAAGATTTAACCTTAAACATGCTCAATGGTAATGTAATTTTCTTAACCCCATTTCCTATAATTATGCAATGGCTGAAAAGTATGAAAAGGTTCTAAAGTTACATAAGATTTTATGTCTTGAGTTATTGAATCAATATTTATTGTTCGTTCTTCATCATCACTAAGGTTGGAAAAGAAGTCTTTAACTTCACTGATTGCTCTTGTGAAAGATTATGCTGTTAAATTTTGAGGCAATGTTGTAAAAGAGTTTTTCTTTTCAGTTTTATATTCTCCATTCATATAACTTAATTTCAGAATTTCTTAAGGGAAGTACTATAACTATATTTCTTAGAATGAAAAAATTTCTTAAAATTTTGCTTTAATTTCATATTCTTCTCTATCAGGATCTCTAATTTTTGATTTAAGTACTTATTTAAGATTATTTGGTATTTATGACCAAAATTCATCAAGAAATTATGTGATTTTATTTTCCTCACTTTTATGTACATCATAAATTAATTCAAGTTTTGATTCTAAAAGTACTCTTTTTAATGTATTTTTCTTCCATGTACTTATTTTCTATAAACTAATATCTACTTTTCCATTAAAATTAGCTTCCTAAATAATACTAAATAATTTTAGAAAATTGTGTTTTAATTGTCTAAATTATTCAATAGCTGATTAACTTTAATTCTCATCGATTATTATTTGATTTACTTTTGTACATTTTTGTTAAAAAAGTTAATTTAATTCATTATCAAGAAATTCTTCAAGAAAGATATTTTCTGGAGATCCCAAGTATGTAATTTCGCCTTTCTTATTGGTGATGAATATAAATGGGATATCTTTAATATTCAGTTCATTGAAAATTTAATTATTATCATCATATCCATTTGGAAATCTATAATGTTCAATTTTCTTCCAATTGTTGTTATTCAGTCTCTTAATCAATAATTACAATTGAGAATCTATAGACATTCCAACAATTTTAATTTTTCCTTACCATTCTAACTTTTTTTGGTATAAGTTTTCACATTATTCAATCAGTTCTTTACTTTTATTTGACCAACTCGCCTAATTGGATAGTATTTTATTAAAATTACCCAAAAAATGATTAAATGAATAAATCCAGTCTGTAATTTAAACAGTATCTACTCTGGTTCTTAAGTGTTATCAGTGTCAAAGTTGATTCTCTCAACTTCACTTATCCCTAGAAATTTATCATTTATTTCATATTTCGGACTTAATGTTGTTAAAAGTTTAGATATTTAAATGTCAAGTTCATTACTAAATGATTGTTTTTATGAATTGATTTGTTTTTTTAAATTATCAAACAGTGTTCTATGTTAAATTTACAATGGTTTCAAGCTTTTTAGAGTAGTTGACGATTATATACTAATGTTATTAAGATCAACTACCTTAGTTATTTATTGATTCCTGTAAATGTCTTAATCTCTTTTATTTCATAGTTTGAGGGAAGCTCCTTTAAAATCGAGACCAATATACTTTTTTTTTCTAGTTGATCCATTTGAAATTTGCGTTTACAAATATATTATTAAAATAAAATAACTCAAAAACTTTAAAAATTCATCATATATTATATATAAGCGTATTTGTTTCTATGTGAATAAATTTTCACAATCCATTTTCTTTAAGCTATTATGTATTTTAAAAATACTGATTTTTAAATTCTAATACAATTATTAAATGAAATTCTCATCTGTTGGCAATATGGCCAACATGGAAATAGTTAAAAAGCTAAATATTTTTCCTTATAAAAAAATCGACATAATTCTGAATATTTTGATGGACAATGAGTCAATATATTAATCAGATTATCATACAAATTAATGAGAAATAAAAGCTTACTTTACTAAAAAAAGATCATTAATATTTGAATGTCAAGGCTTAGAACGATTATAACTTAAAAATTTAATCTGATTACATTTTTAGAGAAGCCAACTTCTTAGTTTCTTTTTTTCAAAAATATAGCATTAAATTTTTTTGGATTTATTAAGGAAAAAAATCCAAATATTTTTATCTATTTAATTCTCTAAAATTCAATTTTTTTCAATAACAATTTTATTGAATAAGCGAAAATTCTTATTTTATAGTTACTGATACACTGAAAAGAATAATCTGCAATTGTAGTAATTTTAACAATACATTATTGCTGAATTAATACCTAAATAGAATAAAGCACTT